GGGTGATTTCATTTAAGTGAAAGAATTTTTCGCGAATTGATTTTTCTGGACTTTGACGCATTTATTTTGCTGAAGATAATGAGTCAATGATAAATTATTTTCGATCAAAGAAAACATTCATGTTTAAAATTAAAAAAATGAATACCTTAATCTAAAATGGGAGAATATTTTTCTTGAAATGAAATCATTTTTTTTTGTTAAGAAACTTTCCTCGAAACAAATACCCCTATATAATAAGACATTAAAATGGGAAATATCTATAATGAGATGAGGACAATCGTCATCCATCTTACCCTAGGGCCCAAGATGCGCACACGTGCACACATATATATAGTTTCTGAAAAAAAATTTGCGTTATATTTCAAATATCTCTCTTCTATCCTAAGACGACATAGTAATTCTATTAAATGAGGTCGAGATTAACATGTGTGCGGTTGTCTATTGGTCTTTTATTTTTTTAAAAGTGTTATCCAGGTCGCTTAGAGTTTCCTTTAATAGCAGTCATTTAAGAAGGCCGATTCCTTGGTGAGTTTCAATTTTTCGGTCACAATTATCATGTGCCAACCTATTATCTCATATATAGTGTCCTTAAATGCCATTTCATTCGCTAATAAATCCATACATAGTCGACTTTACCTTGGTCCACATAACGTTCAATCAAACCTAGGGATCAGCAGCCGGACCTAATTAGACCGAGAACTAAATCGAACCGGCCTTACCCGAACAGTTCCAAGACAGTTCACACGAGGACCGATTCTAGTCCTGGGTAAAAAATTCGAGAACTGGTCTCGACTGGTTGGGTTCCCGATTTTATGCCTTGAGCCAATCGGTTCTAGCTGGGAACCGACCTTACCCAATGACCGGTTTAAAATCAAAACTTACGTTGAGTCTCTTTTAACTTGCTCGGCCTCTCTCTTTTCTCACATTGTCACTGCGCTTTGATTAGATTTTCCAAGATATTCATGCGTGGGATGAAGGAACAAACAGTAAGGACGTAGGACCAGAGTGAGGCGAAGCTTCCTGTGAAGTTGGTTTCTGTCTTTATCGATTCTATTCTAGGTGATTGCTTTCGCATTACCGATTCCTGAGGTTGGTGAAGGAACTGTAAGGTTCTTGGCTTGTTCTTGTCCTATGTGGCTGCAATATGACACGATTATCACGAGTCTATGTGTAATTCTGGTGTCGAGGAAGTTAGAAAAGAGTTCTTACATGTGACAAAATAATCTGCTATTTCAATGCCACATGATCTTTGTTTGTCGCGAGTACTTTTCCGAGGTTCTGCACAAGTTTGTACAACTTATTTTGAGTCCCGAACTTTCATAATCAAAAACTTCATTAGCATAAGGCGCCTCTGTCACCACTTGGCCTGCAGAAAAAAGATGTAAAATAAAATTGACCGGTTTCAAGGTCGATCGGTTTGGTTCCTGATTCTAAAAACTGAGAAACGACTGACAGGATAGGTTTCAAGTTCTTGATCTGAAATCTACCTATCCTAAAACTGATCATTCCTACTCAAACCCACACCAAGCTAAAGTTCCGTGTCGAATGCGCATGAACGAGCTGAATGATTCATGACTGGGTTTAACGGCTCTTAATGTTAAATCCTTTTAAAACCAACGCGCCAGGCTCTATAAATTTCCTACCCATATTTCGTGTTCGAGTGGGGCTTCTGCCAATAAACCCACTTACACTTCTATTCCCTCCGATCTTCACTTTACTTAATTAGCTATAGCCCGCCCCAGGATCTTGACTTGGCATGAACTTTAAGCAATGGAGAGTAGGGAAAGAGGAAGGGGAAAGAACAAATCATGAGAGGAGAGCGAACATAAAAGTACAAGCGGGCACGATTAGGTCTCCTCTTTTCCCGTCGCTAAAGCCATCTAATGATGATTAGGACGGATATATATATTTAAGATAAACGAGGACGGTGCATAAAGCCGAGATTATAGAGATAAAACATTCTTGGAGCACCACTCTCTTTCTCTCTAACAAGAAAAAGCGTTGCCGAAGTAATGGTATTGTAACTCGTTGGATTATTTGAACCTTCATTTAATCATTTCTCTTTACTTTTCTTGAAAAGAAGAAAGGGGGAAGGGATTCACGTTTAACATGACAGCGCGTTTTTCGCGACGGTCAAACAAAGTCGTCGCGCTTTGGCTTTTCAACCTTTCGAGACGTAGTCAACAGTCTCCACCAAACGATTCCTTATACCCCAAGCAAAAGACATGAACAGGATGAAGATGTTCTTCTGTCTCGTCCCGATCGTCCGATGTGTTCTGTCGACTTAAAGCAAAGCGGGTCAAATGAAGTGATGAAATCCATCAGGGTGTGTTTCACGAACCCTGAATCAAGATCAGAATCTTCTGGTCCTCGTGAATTCTCACTAACACATCGCAATAGTTTTGCTTCTGTTGATGACTGTGGAGAGGTTCATGGTCGTCGTCTTGGAGTCCATTCATGTCTCTCACGTGCTAATCAACAATAAGTATGTGCAAGACTTTGAAAAGTTTGGATCATGGAATGATGAGAGGCACGGAAAAATCACCCGATCAGTCCTGAACCTATTATATGGCCAATTCGGTCCTGAATTTTTTGATTTTGCCAAAAGTTGAGGACTCAATTAGCAAAATTGAAAAGTTAAAAATCGAATTATGAAAATATTCATAGTCATCTTGGAGTCGACCCATGTCTCTCACGTACTAATCAAACGTCAATATGCAAGATTTGAAATTTTGGATTGTGGAATGATGTGAGGCACGGGAAAACCACCCAATCAGTCATGAACCTATTGTATGAATGCTAATTCGGCCCTGAACTATTCAATTTTGCCAAAGATTTAGGACTCAGATGGCAAAATTGGAAAGTTGAAACTGAATTGGCATCCTCACAATTTAGGTTTTCTTTTATTGGTGAAAACAATCCATTATGTGAACATCCAACTTGCAATAAGTATTTCTGGCGTTGATTGGAAATTATGAATTAAGGGACAGAGGTCTTTAAAAGTTCTCGTGCGCATAAAAAGGAATTGCGAAAATTAAAGCATACACTGTCGACATAAAGAAAACCTTATGTAAAAGGGTATTACTCGCGCTTTATTTTGAGGGTCTTAAACTGGTAGTGCGTGTTCAACCAAAAAAAAAAAAAAACTGACAGTGCGTGCAATAGTTACTCAAGAAAATAAGTGTCGAAAAATATTCCTTTGATTGATGAGTTTTGAAACAGAAGTTTTATTGATCAATTATCATTATAAAAATCTAATAAAATATTTTTGTAACAAATAAGTTCATTTCATCTGGTTCAAGCTCTCGAGAAATAGTGCTCTTGGTGGTGACTTGATAGTTGAGAATGAGGCGTGCTGCTTATGATTCAAGTCACAAGTCATTTTCAGTAATATATACTTTCTCACTTCTACCACGAACGCCCTCGTCAATGCCGGCCGATAGCCTAGCACCTCTAAGCTAGTTTTTCAAAGGCGACTCTCCTAACGTAACACTTTGTCTCGTGTCCACTCCACTCACACGCTTCCGGTTGGTGTGCTATTCTAATACCATCGAACCATCATGCCTCAAACTGCATAATTACAATCCGCCATGTCCAAATGGTCACCGTCTTAAGTACTCTTTTAAGAAGCTCTATCGACGTGAAACGAGTCAGGTCATCTTAAGCATGCACTGATGGATTTCCGACCCGTCATGTCTTATTTCATGGACAACCTTACTACATGAGTGCCCAATCATGCCTGTATATGTTATTAGGTAGAAGTAGAGTGATTAGTCCACAATGCAAATGGATGTCGTTCCATTTCCGGATTGATTGGGAGTATTATATGCATGATTTGACCCCTAGCGTCGATAGCCTTTCTCCTCTTTATCTTCCACATACAATGCACAATGTGTTAATCAAAAGCAAGCACAACGCAAAAGTACAACAGTGAAACCTAAAAGGACAAAACATAGGAGTCTAACGAAATCTAATATTCTTTGACGATGACCCTTGTTTTATCCTTATCTCTTAATTTTCCACGTGTCCCAAATCCTCTCTCTTTCTCTCATTATAACGCTTTATCTTCGGCGAAAATGCCAAAAGAAAGTAAAAAAAAACCGGCATTATAAACAACATGGGGTCCTGGATCCTCTACCTTTCATAGTACTCAGGAAAGTATCTTGGTGTATTTTTAGCAATTGATGCTTACCTTAATCTCATTTACATACACATACATACGATTGAAAGTACCGAGCAGGCTAGAAAATCCTTGTCTTCGAGACAACATGTGTCTTCGGAGCTTTATTTACCAGGTTTATTACAACTTACTGAAGAATCTTTTTACACATACTTCTGAGTGGGATAAAATACATAAATAAGTTTCATTTCATGAAGAAGACAAAAGCATTCACTGTCAGGATCTAGATGTTGTTCAAACTCAAAATGATTTCTTTGGATAGTGAAAATAAATAATATCGAGATCATGACGCATTTACTTTTAGGTTCAAGCGTCTTACTACTTTGCCAAGGACATAATGTCTTTCACACTCACAAGGTAGTACGAACCATGCATTATTGAGTATATATACTATCGCAACTCTCGTGAATGTTCTATGCCTAGGAGACGTGCATAAGGGTTTTGCCACTATGTTGCCGACCCAATTGACCAAATCGAATTATTATTGGCTTGATCACATCTTTTTGTTAAATTATCTTTCGATGACACAGTGTGTCAAATAGAATCGTACTATTAGAAACCACATGGATTTAGTATTCATGATTTAGATCACTTGAGATTCACGTGACCTAAAACACCGACATGCATCGAACGCGCATACATCCCGTCCATGCAATAATAACTCGAAACGAAACTAATGCTCCAAATGCATGAACCCAACACCCCCTCCAACCTTGGCCATCCTCCTATATAAGCCGCCACAACGTCCCCTTCTCCCTCCGACCAAATCCCAACACACAACCACCAATAACTAAATCAACTGCCGCCACTCCCCCCGCCGCCCCCCCCCAAAATCACCAAAATGCCAGCCTCTTCCTCATCCCTCACCATCACCTCCAAATCCACCGTCTACCCCTCCGCCGCCGCTGCGGCCGCCGCCGACTCGCTGAAGCTCTCCGTCTCCGACCTCCCGATGCTCTCTTGCCACTACATCCAAAAGGGTGTCCTCCTCTCCGACCCCCCTCTCCTCACCTTCTCCGACCTCGCCCTCCTCCTCAAGCGGGCTCTCTCCCTCACCCTCTCCCACTTCCCCGCCCTCGCCGGCCGCCTCTCGACTGACCCTCTCGGCCATGTCCACATTCTCTGCAACGACGCCGGAGTCGACTTCATCGAGGCCAAGGCCAAGCACCTCACCGTCCGCGGCGTCCTCTCCCCCGACAAGGACGTCCCGGATTGCGTCAAGCAATTCTTCGCCTTTGACCGGACCGTCAGCTACAACGGCCACTTCCTCCCGCTGCTCGCCGTCCAGGTCACCGAGCTGGCCGACGGCGTCTTCGTCGGCTGCACTGTCAACCACGCCGTCACTGACGGCACCTCATTCTGGCACTTCTTCAACACGTTCGCCGAGGCAGCCCGGGGCTCGAAGCGCCCATCGAACTCCCCAGATTTCCGCCGCGACAACGTGTTCGTCTCGCCGTCGGCGGTCCTCCGCCTCCCCGCCGGCGGCCCGGCCGCGACGTTCTCCCAGGACGAGCCGCTGCGCGAGCGGATCTTCCACTTCAGCCGAGCCGCGATCCTGAAGATGAAGTCAGTAGCCAACAGCGCTGGCGTCTCCCCGGCGGTGGCCGAGATCATGGGGAAGCAGAGCCACGACGGCTTGAGGGCCGGGAACGGGAAGGTATCGCCATCTCCGAACGCCAGGGCGCCGACGGAGATATCGTCCTTCCAGTCGCTGTGCGGGCAGCTATGGCGGAGCGTCACGCGCGCGAGGAAACTGGCCCCGTCCAAGACGGCGACGTTCCGGATGGCCGTCAACTGCCGCCACCGGCTCGAGCCGCGGCTGGAGCCGTACTACTTCGGCAACGCGATCCAGAGCATCCCGACCGTCGCCTCCGCCGCGGAGCTGCTGTCCCGGGACCTGGGGTGGTGCGCGGGGCTGTTGCACCGGAACGTCGTCGCGCACGGCGACGCCACGGTGCGGCGGGGCGTTGAGGGCTGGGAGAGGGAGCCGCGGCTGTTCCCGCTGGGCAACTTCGACGGCGCGTCGATCACGATGGGGAGCTCGCCGAGGTTCCCCATGTACGAGAACGACTTCGGGTGGGGGCGCCCGTTGGCCGTGAGGAGCGGCAGGGCGAACAAGTTCGACGGCAAGATCTCGGCGTTCCCCGGGCGGGAGGGCGGCGGGTCCGTCGATCTCGAGGTGATGCTGGCGCCGGACACGATGGCGGGGCTCGAGAATGACGTGGAGTTCATGCAGTATGTGTCGTCCATCGAGTGACCCGAAAAAAAAAAACAAGAAACAAAAGGACAAAAACAATGGGAGGTGAGTGACGTGGCAGATGTGACTGACCCTTAGATATTTTTTTCCAGATTTGAAAGTGCCACGTGTCGAAACCTGATGGTCGCTTGTGATGGGGTCGGGTGTTTGCTTTGGACGGTGACTTGATCAGAAATTTCCAAGAAGTGATTTGAGAAACTTATCTCATCATTTAACAATAATTTAGAGACTAAAATCACAAGTAATTAATTGAGTGATTAAACTCTATGAATCTCTCAATCGCTCAATCTCTTCCTCTCCCTCACAGCAAATCGAATAGAGTAAATTGGCACAATCCCGATCGTCTCCCTCCCGTTCCTTCGAAACATGAATGCGTCGATATGAATGCGTCACATTCTACGTCCGGGCCTCGGCAATATCAGTTGAAATAAGCCCTTAAGGCAATGTCGGACGGACGTACTTCAAGAGTACGAGTATTCTTTTCGATATGTGTGGATCGGATTGTGATGAAGATTAGCTGATTACCCCGGCCCCGGCACCCCGTGCTTTAAAAAAGCAAAACAAAAAAAACAGCAGATTTTCATGTTGTTTAGTTAAAGGTGATGGGGTTCTTTGCCATGGTCGTCCAAGTTAACGTCTCCTCGATTTGATTTGGGGGCAGGGGTGGAATGCCAAATGCGGGACACGAAGGGGCTTTTTTCGTACAAAAGTGAAGTTGACGGGGTCAAAAGAGTTAATAAAGTTGTGATGTGAACCTGGTCTTATTGACGGACCACTTGGGAGATTGTTTGTCTAAGCTTCATTGATTTGGGAAGGAAATCGTCAAATCTTAGGGGTTCCACTTGGCCAGTTGGCCCTGCCCTCAATTTTTTGGTTTGCCCATTTGAGTATTAGAAAGATTCTCTTGAATTATTGGAACCTAAGATGCGGGGATCGCTCCGACTTCATTCCAACTCACATTCGGTGATGCGGCATAGGGGCGTGCAAAAGAATAGGATCGGATCAAAAACCGTCCAAACTGAATCGAATCGATTGGTTTTTGACAGTTCCCACGAGTACCGATCCAATTCTTAGTGGAACTGCCTATTCGAATCACCTGAACCAAACCAATATATATATTTTAAATTAAAGAGAGAGACAGAGAGTTAGTCCATTTCTGTGAATCTACAGATGCAAGCAATGCTTTCCTCCTTCCCTCTTCCCTCTCTCGCTCTCTTCACCTTTTGAGCTCTATGTCTTCGCTATAAGAGAGCTTTTGATCTTCACACTCCCAATCGTTCGGTAGCGAGCCTGGTAGGAGCGCGAGGTTTTAGCTCGAACGGAGCTTTGATTCCTTCATAAGAAGTTGCAGATTTACAATTGGAGATGAAACCCTCAAAGTTGAGGACTGAAATCGCTCTCATGGAGTCGGAGAACAACGACGTCAACGTGAAAATGGAAGCGTACAAGGCGATCATGCAGATTGGGAGACGAGCATTTGGATCTGCCTTCCTCGTCCTCCACAAATTGGAGAAGTAAGTCTACCTCTTTTGTTCAATTTCAACATTCCCCAGGACAGGGTCTGTTCTATGTACTCATCCGAGAACCGGACCGGGTAGATCCAAGAACCAACAGGCAATTCCCAGTTTCAAGGTTTGTAGAACCAATCCCCAATGGGTAGTTCTCAATTCCAAGGTAGGAACTGACTCACTCGAAAACCGATCACCCCTAGTGCTGCGGCAGTGACAGGCTCACTCCAAATGAACATTCCAACCCTGGGAGTAGAACTCCTGCAGTATCGCCTAGGTGGGGGGTCGCTGATAATGATCTCCCTTTCCACCTTTCAATCATAGGAGAAGAAATAAACTAGCAGAAAACGAGGGAAATAGGAACATCCTCTTTCCCGGAATCTCAACAAAGCAAAGTCGTTCAGTTCATGACTAGGGGTGCGAGATAACTCTCTTCTAGTGCAGTACACACTTAGAATAATGAAAGGTACACAGGTAAGAGAGACTTTCAATTTCCCTTTCAGTAAATGGGATGCACTTAAAGCTGAACGTCTTACATCTGCTTCTCTGCATTCGAGAGCGAAGAAGTGTCTGGTTTGAACTAAACAACTGCACAATCAAGTTTGAAAGCCCACAAAGACTTGTTGAAAGAAGAATGAAGAACAGTGAATAACAAATGACAATTACCACCAAGACTTCCAACACTTTTTGACAGAATTCGCGCCATTTGCACATGGCACCAAACCTTTCCAGCATAATCTAACTTTAAAAAACCAAATAAAAGGGGCTTACACTGATCTTCACAGATGGTAGGGAGGGCTTACCACCAGCACTTTATGACGATGTTAACAATTTCTTGATACCAGCTTTTTGCTCGGATGTAAGCCTCGTAGGGAACTTAATATTGAACTTTATCCTCAAGTTCCCCTTCCTGGAAGGTTCTTTAGGGATGGGCATGCCTTCCCCCTTAACGACTTCTTCATATGTAGGACCTATCACGGAGTTAATCGGAACAGCAAGATCTCGGCCATCAAGCATTGTGATCTGTGCCGTGTACCCGGTAAGCGCTTCAACCAAGGGAATCTTCAGGGTGACAACAAGATCATTCCCGTCCCTCTTAAAGACACCATGCGGCTTCTCGTCGATAATAAAGACAAGATCCGAGGGTATAATGCCCCGCTGTTCATTTCCCTTCTCTGGGAATGTGATCTTCGTTCCTTTCTTCCAACCCGGCTTAATCTCAATAGTAAGAATTTCCTCTACTGTGGTAGGTCTCCTATATGAAAAACAACCAAAAAAACAGCAGAAACTAGTAAGAACACAAATACTAAAGTAAACTAATCAAGCACATTGAAATTCTTGGTCAATGACTTTTCATTATATCCCAAACTTAGGTATCTGTAAGCATATAGTTTTGTATATAAGCTCAGAATCTCCAATATTCCAGGGGCATCCCTTGGGAAGTTGCTGAATGACATGCAACTATTAACAGGACCACGTCACTGAAGGATGTTTCTTGCACAAGTTGAAGTGCTTAAAATACAAAAAGAATATGAAATATGATTAGATTTTTATGAAGCAATTCGTTGAACCATATCAAGCAATGGAGACTCCCCAGCCAAGAAAGTCAGTTTTGATTCCCATGACACCTCAATTTTGTGCAGTCAATGGGAAATTTTTTAGATTTCCAAGCACAAAATTGTTTAAATTCACAGCCCAAACAATGCTTCTGACATAATACAATCCACATAGAGAACTCACGAAAAGATCAAAAAGAAAAAGGTCACTTGGCCCAACCAATGCTCTTCAATTTCACAACTCACTACTAAGACAGAGCAACTAAAATGGACAGCAGAGCCTCTCACATGTATATGTATACGGGCCAACAAGCATGACCTAACAAGGGAAAAAAACCCTAAACCATCAATGACCAAAGTACAACTTGTGAATTAGATGCCAGATATAAGATAACTAGGGTAAAAGCATCACCACCAAATGCAGAGGTTAAAAGTGATTTTAGAGATGACGTAGCACTGGAGAATTTTCACTTGATCTCATAGGTTCCAGAGATGCCTATTCAAATCACTAGATCAAAAAAAGCTAGGAGAGGAAAAGTTCTTGTGTTGGTTTTTCCCCCAGAATAAAAACAATTTATTGATCTCTTGCAAAATTAAATAAAAACAGAGCAAACACAAAGATTTACACGATTCGGTCAATGCAAACTACTTCCACAAAGAGGATAGCTCAAAACTCATCAAGGCAGAGTAAAAATGCGTCTGGTACAAATAGCGGCATTTATTACAAACAGCCATAAGTACAAAAACCCTAGTTACTTACTAATGAGGGAACATAATAGAACCGATTTAACAACCATCATATCCTATGACCTAACTTTATTCTCACGAGGAATGGGATTGCATCGAATCCACTTCGCCACGGGTGAAACCCAAGAGCAGAACGCCCACAAATTTCTTCACTAAATAACTTATACAGCAGCCATATTGAGATATTTCCCGGACATTGTAAATTATAGCACCCTAACTGTTGTTTTCACTTAATTTTGTGGATGTCTGAAGATAGCTCAATGCTTATTGCAATGGAAGTCATCTATGCTAGGAGGAGAGAACTCTCACTTTAGATCAGGGTAAATATTTTACCAAGGACCGCCAAAGATGCACATTTGACTGTCCATTGAGACAGTCACAAATACAAGTAATGACACATCAACTTTCAAATGACATATTCAATGCATCGCTACAGGGAGATACGCATACACGATACTCAAATGGATGAATCCTCCTTAGAACAGCATTGTAATTTCTCGAGAAATTATATTAATTGGGAAAAACAGAAAAAGGGAAGCATCAGCCACAAGATTCAGAAAAGTGCATTAGCTGGCGAAGAAACACAAACTTACTCGGTCATATAAGGCGAATATGCAGTATCTGTCGATCAATTTTTCCTATTGCACTTCCTAAAGACACAACCCTTCTTGACATATTGGAAGCAGTCTTGGAAAATGTATATAGTCATAAACAAAAATCACAAATTCAAAGTAGTCCATGCTTATGCTTTTTAAGATGGAACCCATAATAGACACTAGTTATAATAACTGTTTTATCTTCAAAGTACCAACCTGTCAGAGGCAAGGGTCATTCGGGATCACACACTAAGATTACGAGAGTCTTCTAACTTACACCACCCCCCTCCCCCTCCCTTTTTTCTCTCTCTCCGCGCAAGGAAATTTTCTTTTATAAAACATAAGGACATAACCAGAAAAAAGCTTGTCGCTAACTGTTGACCAAAAAAAAAACTGCTAACAGAAAAAAGCTCCAAGGAAATTCGTTGGAGCACAAAACTGCTGATTCACAACATTAACAGACCGGTCCATACTGCAAAGGAAATTATACCATGGTCCAACCTTCTGACCAGCCTATACAAGGGCCAATAGCAACCTAGGTGAAAGTATTTGAGTTCAAATGATACAGAGTTCACTCTTTTCTTTTGCTTTTAGTTTAGATGATTCAGGAAGTATCAGGCATCACCACACTTCAAAGGACTGTTTTAGACCAACTAAAACCAGTGTTGTCAGAAGACATGCGGTAGAGTGTTTGTGGAAGTGTACTTATATATTCTGGTGAATTTCTTCATAACTGTTCCATAAGCCTTCTCCTACCGCATATAGCATAAGACTGCACAAAGCACTTGGATATTATCCACAAATTATCGTGCCCGTTACACCATAAAAATAAAAATAAAAATAAAAATAAAAAAGGGAAAGATTTATAATTAAAAAGTTGGATCCATCAAGTTAACACTCTTTGACAAGCTACAATGGCCATCAACAATCCAGCAAATGGTGTTGCTGTGTCATATTCGTGTTTGTGATTCATGTCAAGTCGAGTCGGCCTAAATCATCTTAATTTTGATTCTGCATGCCAAACAATTGAATTACGATGAAAACGTATGAGTTCATGTCATGCTGTGTTAACATATACAATTATGCAAGTCTTGTTATGTCATATTCCGATTCTCTCTATAATTTGTGTTTTAAATCTTGTTGTGCAAATGTGTCAAGGTATTACACCTATCGGAAAAACAAGACATTTATAGACTTTCCATTACATGAAGGAAGCACTAATAGAGACGACGACGAGACAACAATATCTAGACACCACCTCGCGGAACATGAGTAGTCAAGGTATTACGCCTATCGGAAAACCAAAACATTTATAAACTTTCCATTACATGAAGGAAGCTTTAATAGAGATGACGACAAGACTACGATATCTAGACACCACATGGCTCCTGAAAGAGAAACTATTGCACATGAACTGCATTACCGCCAGAGTCACCATTTTACCTTAAGTTCAATAACACGAAATATGACGGCACGAAAAGAGATTTTAGTTGAGACGTTCCATGCAAATCGGCAACACGTAGCAAAAGCATCAATGTAACAACTGAAGCCAAAACTGGGAAAGTTTACAGTTTCTAAGTTCACAAAAAGAGCTAATTGAAGCCATGCAGTAGCAAATTCTAAAACACTCCAGTAATATCATAGTCTTGTGCCTGAACATCACCAAATAAGTGAAGAAATGCATTAAAACCAACGCAAGCTTACCAGGAACTATCAATGACATCTCTTGATATCTTCATCTTCTTGGTGGTCCCTTTGTAGAGATCCTCCAAACCACAGGGCAATGTCCTCTCGATTGGTGGGGCTTTTCGCGGGGTAGAACCTTCTCCTCCGCCACCACCGCCGCCGCGCAACGACGCAAAGATATCCTCCGCAAAGATGCCTCTCGGGAGACCCGACCCACCCATTCGCGACCCGCCGATGTTGCCGAACGGGCTCGTGAACCCGAAGAACTCCGAGAAAATGTCGTCCGCGCTCCGCGGGTTGAAGCGGAAGGACGTGGGGCCGCCGCCGCCGCCAGCTTCCGAGAACCCGCCGGCGCCCGGCGGCGGGAACTGACCCTTCAGCCCCTCCTCACCGTACTGATCGTAGACCGCTCTCTTCTGGGGATCGCTCAAGACCTAAATCAAAAACACACCCACCCACATCCAGAGAACACGCGATCGAAACGATTCAAAATTCCAGCCAGCCCTCCACTGCTCACGAACACGGCACACGCGATCGAAGAATCTGAAACCGAACATGCACGCAGCGCAAGAACGGAATCCAAACAGGAGAACGCGAAAAGCAAATTAAAAAGAGACAAGGCCCGCGGGGTGGGGGAGGAGGTGGGGAATGTTACATCGTAAGCTTCGGAGATTTGCTTGAATCTGGCCTCGGCGTCCTTCTTGTTGTTGGGGTTCTTGTCGGGGTGCCACTTCATGGCGAGCTTCCGGTACGCCTTCTTGAGGTCGTCGTCCTTGGCGTTGCGGTCCACCTGGAGAACCCGGTAGTAGTCCACGCCCATGCCGCCTGCCTCTCCTCCTCCTCCTCCTCCTCCGCCGCCGCCGCCGCCGCGCACGGTGGTTCTGCTCTGCGCTGCGCTGCTTCTTCCTCCTCTCTCGTTCTTGATTGGAGTGGATTCTGTCTCTGAAATTGAGGAGGAGTTCTTGGATTTGGATTTGATTTTTGCTGGGCGTGATAGCTCGGTTCGGGTCGGGTCGCGAGGATCTGGGCCTGGATAACGGGTCGGATCCGGAGCCTTGGGCCTAGCGGGCGGGCGGTGGCTTAACGGGGCCGGGCCTCTCAGCCGGAGCTGCAAACGTTACTGGGCCGAAGACTTTGTTCTCTTCTGCGAAGTGTCGTCGTTTTTGTTGTTGTATAGGAGGAGTTTTGGGCAAGGAGAAAGGGGGAAAAAATGTGGGAAATTTCACGATGAACCTTGGACTTGAATTTGATTGATACGAGATGATATCACATGCATACGTCATGTGACATCGTTTAACAGTTGTTATTCTACTTTCGAAGTAGTTTAAATAGTAGATAATAGTACGTGCTGATGTCACAAAAGGAAAAGCCACGAGTGTCCCTCGAAGAGCTTGTTAATCATACCTAACGAGGAAATCTTTTTAATTTACGAATGAGATGAAAAAGACGGTGCTGCATTGGAAATGGCGAACTTCCTTTCATTGGTGAATTCTAAAACCGGTACGTTGGTTGATACATTTCGTCTCAGACAAGATTGTGTACCTGGTTGAGATAGAGTGAAAAGTTTGGAGGCGGCATTAATGATTCAGCCACGTTGGACTTGATGACTATGGATGGTCATGTATCACGAGATAGAGGGAAAATCAATAGGGCAAATGAATCTTATTAAGGCTTATTCCCATGATTAAGAGGGAGATGAAGTTTTGACTGCGTTTAAGTACACTTTTAGCCTCTAATTATTGTTAAATGGGCCATGAGGTCGTCGAACCTTTTTGGTGTAATTGAATTCTCCAACTTATTTGAATCACACAATCGATTTCCTTCGTTATTTGCTGTTAATTTCCCCGATGTTATAGTACCGGTATAGACGACTAGTGACGTGACACGTCGTTTCCCTAAAAAAATGACGAAAATTAAAATAGTAAGAGGGGAGGGGGAGAGGAAGGGGGAGCAATACAAGCAAAAAGGTTGTACGTAAGATAAAAGAGACTATACAAGCAAGAACTATACAAGCAAGACCGGACTCAATTACAAGAACAATGGTTCGAGAATTCGATTGCACGTAAGATAAAAGAGACTAAAACGCGTTATGTGTGCGAGCGAGCGAGAGAGAGAGAGAGTGAGTGTGTGATTACATCCTTCTTGTCGTCCCTCCTCCTACTCCTAGGGGAGCCAAAACCGGGGTTTTGGCTTTTGCCGAGGAGAGGGTCATCGGATCGGCGAGGATTACTGGTGAAGTCAAAATTTTGCTTAGACAATTTTGCTTGGTAATGACGGGTGGGACCCGGAGATTGAATGAATATGGAAAAAATAAAAATAAAAAGGGCAAAATAAAACAAGAATATATATTTTTTTAAAATTTCCAAAAGGGAATAGAGAGAGAGAGAGAAAAGAACCAACGGAACAAGCGCCCCCTCAAAATTGGAAAAGTTGGAAAACAAGCACGAAAAATCACAAACTGGTACATTTGTGATAAATTTACCCCAAAATTAATTTTTTTATCAGCGAAAATCTTAAACTAGTAAACCTGCAGCGAATTGACTCTTCGTTAGCTTCCGTTAAATTTTACTGTCAAATTGCTCAGTTAAATTACACATGACAGTTGACAAATGTATCAGTTTTGGGATTTTACCCTCCGTTTGTCCCGAGTGTACCAGTTTGTGATTTTTTTTTTGTATTAATTCAATTTAATGGAAGGTAAATTTGTCACAAATATACCAGTTTGGGATTTTTAGTAGTCAAAAAATTAGTTTGGGTTAAATTTATCACAAGTGTACCAGTTTAGGGTTTTTCATGGTCAAAAAATTAGTTTTGAATAAATTTGTCACAAATATATCAATTTAGGATTTTTCATGATATTAACCAAACAACTAAATGCACCATATAAACCCTCTCACGCACACGAGTCATTCATCGTGACTATGTGTATGGATTGCTGGATCTGATAGGATTTGACCTCTTTCGTACACGAGACATACTGTGTTCGACCGTCGGCGATAGAATCTATAAATTTCCCCACAGGCACTGGCGTCTCTCCGTGTTCGTGAGACCAGATGTCTACCATTATGATGTTTGATTGGGTCATTTTAACGTGCGTGCTCAGATAGTTTTTGGAGAAGCTTCAGCCCCGGGTTGGGATCCAAACCCTTCCCTGATCTCGAAGGACCTCGGTCCACACGATGAGGGCACTTGAGCCACGGGTGGCCTCGGGCTTCCCAACACATTTTATATCTTGGTGGGGGCCGCGATAAGATACTCGCCCTGTCTGGACAGTTGTCAAGCATCGCAACGGCTTAAACCGGGCATTTCCATGACGAGTGTTGGAAAATTCTGCCGAGAGAGGTTGCCAATGCACACCCCCGCCCCATTTCATCCTTTTTTCGATTTGCAAACAAAATGAAAAAGCACGTATCTAAAAATTTTAAAGTGCCGTCGGCTGTCCTGAAAGCTTAAACTGTGAGACAAAAAAAGGGTTCAATATTTGATTATCATAGCATGTACATATATATATATATAATAAGCATAAATTCATTATAATGATAAAATAATCAAAATATTCTCTCTCTCTCTCTTCTCTCTTCCCCCTCACTGTCTAGACAACAAAAGAACGAAAAACAAAGCGAGTACAAAAAGCACACGACTTCGTCGAAGCGGAGACCGGAGGAGGAGGAGGAGGCCCCCTTCGGAATACCAGACCAGTAGGATCCCGGCCGCCGCCCGCCGCCGCCGCCGACGGTGCTCTCTGCTCCCCCATGGCGCACGCGGAGAGCGGGCACGGTCGCCAAGCGTCGTCGGAGATGTACGTGCCCCGGTCGATGCAGGTGTGGCGGGGCCTCGTGAACTGGCTCGCCTTCTTCTTCCAAATCTTCCTCCAGATCCTGCGCGGCACCCCGTCCCTCGCCCAGTTCCTCTCCTACATCGGCCTCCGCCAATCCTTCCTCTCCGCCGCCGCCGCCGCCCCCTCCCCCTCCCCGCCGCCGCCGTCGCCGGCGTCCTGCTCCCCGCCGTTCAAGCCCTTGCCGGTCGTCGAGATTCCCCTCCAGGATTCCTGCCCTCCCGAGCACGCCGGGTCCGACAGCGACGTCAGCGTCGCCGGCGATGACGATCTCGTCGCCGTCGAGAGGCTCACGGTACTCCAACTTCTTGTGTCATCATCTCGGCATTATTTTGTCCTTTTTCGGCTGATTCCGGCGTCGGGTGGTTTCTGGGTTAGTTGCTGTCAGTGAGTATTGCGAGTATTGATGGCTGCTTGGGCGGTTTCTCTTCTCTCCTGTTTGGGTTATTGCTGCTTCAATTTTCAGAAGATTTTGGAGCCATTTAGTGATGGGGTTGAGTGAATTGATACTCAAGTAAGGAGCTTTGAATTGTCGTCGGAAGATCTCGATTTCAACTTCCTTTCTTAACCTTCTCAAACGGGTTTTTAGCAGTTTTTAATGTTTGCTTGTCACTTTGTAACGCACGGTGCAGGATGTGTTCGATTAGCAAGATGCATATACTGTGATAATTTGGTAATGGGTTTTTTTTGTGAACCTCACTGACATCATCACAATTACTGCTTTGTTGCTTTTCGATTTTGTTCCGACCCTAGATGTAAGTATTGATCATCGGATTGAACTCTCCATAGTCCGAAGTCTCGCTTTCTGAGAGATGATGTTAGGGGAGATGTGCTGCATTTCTTGCTGATGTCGAGTTTGGAGTATGGTTTAACACACATTACTTGGATTTTAAACAGAAATTGGTTATTTCATGAGAATGATAGGTTAATTGGGTCTTTATCCACATGCAGATCGTTCTCGACTTAGACGAGACCCTAGTCTGTGCATATGAAACGTCTAGCTTGCCTGAGATTATCCGTGCTCAAGCAATAGAAGCTGGATTGAAGTGGTTTGAGTTGGAATGTGTATCTTCCGACAAGGTCTCTCTCTCTCTCTCTCTCTCTCTCTCTCTCATAGTCCAATTTTTTTGAGCATGTATTTAATGTGGTACCTGCTTAATAAAGGATTGTGATGGGAATCTTTTGAGCATGTCATTAATGCAGTACTTGCTTATTTTAGGAATGTGATGGGAAACCAAAAGTGAACTACGTAACGGTGTTTGAACGCCCTGGTTTGCATGAGTTCTTGAAAAGGATCAGTGAATTTGCAAACCTTATTTTATTTACCGCGGGTCTTGAAGGTATTGCCATTTTTTTTTATCAATTTCCTATTATTTGTCGTCCTTCCGTGAATTTGTCCATTAGCTTAACTACTTGGGCTCCCTGCAGATTACGCCAGACCGCTTGTGGACAGAATAGACAAAGACAACGTGATTGGAGAACGTCTTTATCGCCCTTCGACTGTCAGCACGTAAGCATATTCTATATATCCTGTTATTTCCACTTAGGACAATGTAAATTCTGTTTTAAGTGGTTTGTGCTGATTATTGATTGCATTCAAAGGAATTACTTGAAATTCAAGGATAGGAGATCAGTTCTGGCTTAGGACTAACCTCATCCTCTCTCTTTTTTCTCAATCTGATGTATGACTTGTGAAACTATGGACAAATGAAAGTTATCTGCAAGTCGTTGCCTTCGAAAAACAAAATAAGCAAATGATTAGGTTTGCAAAAGGTAAAGGATTTGTGGACGAATTATGCCCAAATGTGCAATGTCTCTTCGTCTTTGTAAGTTTCGATCTTAAACTGGATTTAAGGTCTGAATCATAAGACGCTGTCGAAGTTTTGATGTGTTGTTAGCTTAGAGTACAAGACTTTCCAACTTGGAAAAGCAGTTCATCTAGCATGAAAGTCTACAGACTATTCTCTTGAAGTTCATAAGATAGTGGGTTTTTGAAGGTTATGTTTGCTTGTGGCTAGTAAACGCTATAGCTGCTTGCTGTTGCATATTATGTTAGCCTGTGGATCATAGATCTCACTTGAGAGCTAGGGGAGTTGGTGCAAATTACTTAAA